CGGTCGGTCGGTCGGTCGGTCGGTCGGTCGGTCGGTCGGTCGGTCGGTCGGTCGGTCGGTCGGTCGGTCGGTCGGTCGGTCGGTCGGTCGGTCGGTCGGTCGGTCGGTCGGTCGGTCGGTCGGTCGGTTATAGTGAGAGCGCAGTAGTACGTCACCACGGGTCGTCACATGTCATCCTGGGTCATCATGAGTCATCATGAGTCATCTGGGGTCATTCTAGGTCACATTGGGGTCATCGGAAGTCATCAATGGACGGCTTTACCTGCTATTGGCAGAATTAACCTTCCGAATAAGAACGTCGCCTGCGGGGCGGTGCGCATGCGCAGCGCAGGCTCACAGAGCTGATCTGATCCCATCGATACACACAGTAATGACCAGCACTGAGTGCACGCTGCCGCCGCCGCCGCCGCCGCGCCTTCATCCCCCCTGAGTGGCCGGATTACTGCTGACCCCTCGGGGGGCGGCAGACGCTGGTCACGCTTCCCGTGCCCCCGCTCGCTGCGTGCCGGACCGTCGGCGGACCGACGATCACTGATGAAGGCCGGGCCGACAGACGAACTAATGCATACATAATGCGCGCCAGTGATAAATAAGTAAACGTATCTCCTCGCGTTGATAAATAATGCAACAGAAATCAGTTTGGCCCCGTGCTCGCGTGGGTCGGTGTGCTCTGCCGCCGCCGCCATATTGGAAAAATGACTGAATTAGCGGATCGGTCGCCATCACTTATTCACGAGCAGATTGGCTGGTTTCAATAATTCAGACCAATTGGCCGGGTGCATTAATTACTTGTGGAGAGAGAGAGAGAGAGAGGAGGAGGAGAGCGAGGAGGAGAGGGAGGGGAGTGAGCGGTGAGATAGTAAGGGTTGTGGGGGGGGGAGGGGGTAGTGAGAGTGCGCAGGAGAGAGAGTCAGCGAGAGCGAAATAGTGAGTAAGCGAGAGAGAGAGCGCGAGAGAGAGAGCGAGAGAGAGAGAGAGAGAGAGAGAGAGAGAAGAGAACGAGAGGCAGAGAAAGAATTGGAAGAGCGCGCGCGTACAGATAGAGAGAGACACTCACAAACACATTGAGATACATCCAACACAGCAGGAGACACACGCAACGCGCACACACACACAAACACACACCACCACACACACACACAACACCACACACACACACACACGACACACACACCCACACACACACCACACACACACCCCCCCCCCCACACACACCACACACACACACACACACACACACAGACAGAGAAGAGGAGAGAGAGGAAAGACAAGAGAGAGGGAGGCGGAACGGAAAGACAGAAGAGAGAGAGAGACGGAGAAGAGAGGCGCGCCAGAGAGAGACGATCGACAAGAGTGGCAGAGCAGAGAGAGAGAGAGACACCACACACACACACACACACAGTGGCCAAGATATAGAGAGGGTGACGAGCGTGGCAGTGCCAGTATGCCCTGCATCGTAAGAGCATTCCTGATGCTTTGATGCTTCATTACCTGCAGAGCGTGAAGCTCATTGGTCCTAGCATGCCGCCACAGCACAGCCTATGTGTAGAGACTTCTGCGGCCCAAGACACGCGCACTGCCTATAGATTATTTGTGGCTATATGTGTATAGCTCGTCTCTGTCTCTTTTCTGTCTCTCTCTCTCTCTTTCTCTCTCACTATCTATCGCTTCTCTCTCGCGCGCTCTCTGTCTCTCTCTTTCTCTCTCTCTCTCTCTCTCTCTCTCTCTCTCTCTCTTCTCTCTCGTTCTCTCTCCGCATATCTATCGGTTTCTCTACTCTCGCTAGCTCTTTTCTCTCTCTCTTTTGCGCGCATTTTCTCTTCCTCTCCCCCCTCTCTCCTCTCTCTCTCTCTTTCTCTCCCCTTCTCTCCCTTCCCCTCTCCCTTCTCTCTCCCTCTTCCCCTCTCCCCCTTTCTCTCTCCCCCTCCCCTCTCTCGTCCTTCTCTCTCACCCTCTCTCCCTCTCTCCTCTCTCTCTCTTTTTCCTCCCCCTTTCTCCCCCCACCCGTCTCTCTCTCCCTCTTCTGCTTCTCTCGCTTCTCTATCAAGAGCTCACGACTGTTCACGCTTCAGCGTGACTCGCCTGCCGCTGGCACAACAGCTGAACGTCGACCTCTTCTTTCCGTCTGTCACAGATGCACGGCTTCGGCGACGAGCACCACAATCGTACATGAACGGCGCGACGAAAAACAGCATGGCGACGACCGCCGAGCCTCGATGTCGTCTCAGTCACGTAGGCCCGGCACGCACCGGCGAGTATCTCAAGTCCGAATGCGCGAGCGAGCTAACAAACACCACACACCACCAGCACACACACAGCGCCCTCTAACTCTTTCCTGTCACCCGCCATCACACACACACAGCGACATACATATAGTGTCGCCAGTATATATATATATATAAGAGATATATATATATATATCATATATATATATATATATCAGGGATTAATAATGACAAATTTGTCATTTTTGTCAAATTGTCAAATTTGTCAAATTCGTTATTAACCCCTGATATATATGTATATATAAACATAGATATATATATATTTATTATATAGATATATATATATGTACATGTGTGTGTGCGGAAGAGAAGTGTGCATGAAATTTTCTACGGATAAAGATTTCCCATAGACACCGAAGGCCCTGACTGTAAACTATAGGAAGGATCAGCGCATGTTGCCTTCCGTTGGTGGGCCCTCGTATAGAAGCCGTGAGTTAGTCACACGCTATGAGTACGCTCTCTCTGTGATGAGAGAGAGAGAGAGAGAGAGAGAGCTGCGGATAGTGGTCGCGGCGGTGTGTAGGTGCCGCAGAGAGAGAGAGAGAGCAGTGAATTTGTGTGTTAGGTCGCTTGTTTTGTTTTGTGTTTTTATTTGGTTGTGTGTGTGTGAACTGTGCTGCTGTGTTGAGCGAGCAGAGAGAGGAGAGAGAGAGAGAAAGAAAATTTGACCTGTGTCAGTGACATGCTGTGGCTGTGTGTGTGAGAGAGAAAGAGAGCGAGAGCAGCAGCAGAGACGACGAGAGAGGAGAGAGAGAGAGAGGAGAGAGAGAGAGAGAGGGAAAGAGAGAGTGGAAGAGATACGGATAGCGAGGGAGAGAGCGAATAAAATCAACTCGCCAGCTCTTTGTAAAAAAAATATTAATGGAGACTATGTATTGAGATTGTGTATCTATAGGCTGAGTATTGTAATTGTACAGACGGTGTGTAACTGTGTTCACTGAGTAAGTACGAATTCAACAGGGTTGCCTTGCGTTCATACGTGTTACCGTTGCAATGGTATAGCATGGCGTCATAGCGTGTTCTAGTATATATCACACATACATATTATAGCAAGAGCTCATAGCTAATAATATATATATAGGTCTATAATATCAAGAACTTATAATAGGTATTATTAGCGCTTGATTATATGTCTAAACAAGTATATATATACATACATATATACATATATATATAATGTATTCACACACACACACACACACATACACACACACACACACACACACACACACACACACACACACACACACACACACACACACACACACACACACACACACACACACACACACACACACACACACACACACACACACACACACACACACACACACACACACACACACACACACACACACACACACACACACACNAATATATATATATATGTATGTACGTATGTGTATGTATATATGTATGTATGTATATATGTATGTATAGCAGGGTGAATCGGCTAGTGCAGCATGATGTGACAGCGCTACAGGCGTATGTCAGCTGTACGGACTCTGCATGGTGACAATCAAGTGTCAGGTGTGTCCGCTATAGCCAGCCGTCAGCGTTTCTTCTCGCACCTGTATCTATCAATTATGAAGCAGGCATAACCACCCATCTGTTCTCCCGCTGACTGAGACGTGTCGCATTTCCACTTCCCGGTCGGGGCGTGTGAGCGTGCGTGCGTGCATGTGTGCATATATTATATATTATATATATAATATATTATATGTATAATATGTACGTAACATACACATATTTATATATAATACATAATATATATATATATATATATATATATGTATATATAT